TGGTCTTTGGAGGCAAAGAGAGCTGGAACTGAGTCCTGGCCCTGCAAGAAGAATGGTTTCACACTCTGCCCGACCTCTCTAAAATGGGGACAGCAGCCCCGCCTGGCGGGCTCCAGAGCGGGATTCTGCGGCCCGCGCCCCGTGCCCAGAGCAGTGCCGGTGGTCTGCAGCATCTCCCCAACAGCCGGCTGCTGCGTTTAGCTCCCTCTGCTCCTCTCTTTGAATATGCATCTATCTCTCAAATGTTATCAACAACGATCATGCTGGAAATAAAAATGGAAGTGAAGACAACACCCCAGTCCCTTGACCATCTTATTTTTTTCTGCTGAGTTTCATTTCTCGGTAGCCCTGAGGCTCCTGCGGTCCTCAGTGACAAGGTCCATGCAGTGGGCTTCCAGACTAAAGCAAGGCAGAGTTCTTTCGAACTTGCTGTTCAAGCTAAATCTGGGCAGTGGGGAGGGGAGGCGCAAAGAGGAGACAGGGTCCTGGGGGTGAAAGGGGTGAGGCGGGGGCGAGGGCTTGTCTTCCAAGATGGAACCGATGAAGCATCCTCTCCAGGACAATGTTCTCCTTTTCTTACCCTCTGTGCTAAGATAAATTTTCTTTTCAGATTGTGATTATGGATTAATTTATGGCTTTCCTTAATTGTCTGAGCAGCGCAGGTTAATGTCCTGGTAAGGACAAGTTCTCTTGTACTTTATGAGAGCAATCACTTAACGAAAATTAGGCTATTACTTTTTATCTCCCTCTCCTTGGCAATGCCTGATACCATGGGCGTTCCTGCAAATTCCCTTCCCCTTGCCCTGGGGTAGGAAAGAGAGCTTTATTTGGCTTTGACGTGCAGATTTCCTGATGCTGGATAGCCGGGTTGAATGCCGGAACTGGCACCTGCTGGGCCGTAGCTGGGCCTGGCATGGGCTCCTGGCTCTCCCGAGTCCTGTACTCACCACCTACAAAACGGAGATAGCACTGTTCATAGCCCGCGGGGTCCCTCACCACTCGTCCAGCCTGTTTAGAGCTTTGCCTAGCTTTTCCACACAGGTTTTAAGCTGGGCTGCGCCAGGCAGACCCCAGACCAGATATGTGTGGTTGGCTCACCAGGCAATGCTTCCTGACAGCCGGGACCAGCGTGGGGGGATGCTGGGGAGAAGCTGCCAAGGCCACGCCGCTGTCTCTGAGGGCCCAGCTGTGGCTCTCCATGTCCACGCTACCTTTCTCTCCCCGGCACCGGCCACTGGACCTGGGCTGTTTTCTCCTAGCATTGCCCAGCCTCCCAAGTCTGCCACCCAAAGCAGATGGCTCCACTTGCCCTGGTTCCCTCCTCCAGGGGTGGACACACACAGACTGTTAGATGGGCCACCCACAGTGGCTTCAGGGGACCCCACTTCCCCAGCAGGAGATGCAGAGGGAGTGAAACAAATACGGCCTCTGATCACGCAGGTTTTGGAGGGTGAGATAGTGAGGGGGCATTGCAATGCTGAGGTTCCCCCGGAGGAAATCTCCAAGTTGCACAGCTCAGGAAGGTGCCTCGGGAAGTACCAAGAGTCTCCCCCAGGAAGACGCCAGTGATGCACAGGATTCACCTAGCACAGGCCAGCCAGGCGCCTCCAGGAACCAGGGTCTGCATAGCCCTGTGCCCAAGCTCCAAGGGCGACAGGAAACCTCATGTGGGCTGCACGGAAGGCAGAGGGTGGGAAGGGGATGCTGACAAGCTGGGCTGTGGTGGCTGGGGGCACTCCACTGGGATGGTCCTGGAGGGCTGGCTCGGAGTCAGATGTTAGTGCGCGGTTGTTATGGCTTAGATCTTAGTGTTCCCCCCATGCTTCATGCATTCAGAAGTGGGCTTTGGCGGGGTGGTGAAATGATGAGGCACTGTACTGGAGGATTCATGGCTGAGAGTGCTGAGAGGAGGTGTGGGCTGGCCTGAGATGGGTCCCTGGGGTGTGACCCTAGGTTCCTGGGCTGGCCCGATGAGATGGGTCCCTGGGGTGTGACCTGGAAGGATGGACTCCTGTCTCTCACTCCTCCTTTCTCTCCTGACTTGCTGGGTGAGCAGCTTTCCTCCTCTATGTCCTTTCATCATGCTGTTTCTGTCTGGGAGCCCAATAACTGTGGACTCAACCCTCCGCAACCATGAGCCATGAGCCAAAATAAACCTCTCCTGCTAGTCAGGGGAAAGAGGTTAAGACGGGATTCTAAGCTGGGTTTCCAGGAGATATTCCGGGGATGGTATCCCACGTTAGCAGCAGAAGTTCGTGCTAGGAGTATTAGCTATGATCCTATCGCTCCTGGCTATCGTCACTCTCTTGCAGCCATGACTCATCACTTGGGCCTGGCTCTGTTAGGCCGTGGACCTGTTTAACCTCTGTGTCTCCTAACAGTCTATAAGTTTCACAAGGGGAGTGTCTGTATGTTGTATCCAATTGGTCATATATTCAGCAAGATGTATTTGTTAAGTGAATAAGTGAATGTTTTTGAGCTGTAGATTATGTGGGGGGGCAAAGAAGGAAAGAGCGCAGTCCCCGTTCTCAGTGGCACATGGGTTTATCACCCAAAGGCTGTTCACTGGGCACACAAGGACTGTGCCCTACTCCTTGGCTAGGTGGTGAGCGTAAAGTTAGGAATGAAATGCAGGTATCCATGACCCCTGCCCTTGGGAGCTCAGCACCCAGCTTCCTGGTTCTTGAAGGGCAGGCTTTTCCCATGAGCTCTGTTTGGAAGTTGGTGGGGATAACTGGGGCCAGCCCCATGTTGGAGGATGGGGCACTGTTGTCCTTGGGCTGGTGGGGTGGCTGGAGGTGGTGTGTGATGAGAGGATAGGTTAGCACAGGCAGACCTGGTCCTTATCCACATGACCTTCAAGCACCTTGAAGGGGGCATGCAAGTGGCTGAGAAGAGCTCTGTATTGTTAGCCTAGAACCTCGCTCTTCTATACATAAGCTCAGTGTGCGTTTCTGGTATGACTTTAATGTACTGGCTTTTATGGCAGTAAAATGGATATTTAGCATTTATTGTCTTAGCACTTCTTAACATATGCAGTTCAAGAGTGTTAAGTATACTCACAATATTATGCAACAGATTTCCAGAACATTTTCAGCTTGCAAAGATAAAACTCTACCCTTTAAGGCAACAACTCCTGATTCCCATTTCTCCCTCCCCCTGCCTGTGGCAGCCTTGTTCTACTTCCTGCTTCTGTGAACTTGATTACTCTTAAGTATTTTATGTCTGTGGAGTTGGGCAGTGTCTGTCAGTGCCTTGTTTCTTTTTTTTTTATTTTTTATTTTTTGTTTTTTTCCAGTACTAGGCATCGAACTCACGACCTTGCACTTGCCAGGCAGGCGCTGTGCCGCTGAGCTAAATCCCCAGCCCCAGTGCCTTGTTTCTTAGCAGAGTGTCCTCAGGGTTGGCTGTTTAGCATGTGTTGAAATTTCCTTCTTTTCTAAGGCTCAATATTTTTATTTATGTCTACGTGGCATTTTGTTTTATCCACTCTCCTGTCAGTGGAACTTCGGTGGCTTTTACCTCTTTACTCTTGTGACAAAATAACGCTGCTATGAACGTGATCCTGCAAACATGTCTTCAGGGTCCTACTTTCAGCTCTTTTGGATGTGTGCTCAGAACTGTAGCTGCTGAGTCATGTCATTTTTCTTAAGTCCCATTCTCATTTTTTTATCCAAAAAATACAAGTAAATAAAGGAAAAACCGAGCTTGCATTTGTTTTCAACTTTACCGAGGCACACTCACACTTTGGAAGAAATCTCGTCCAATGGGACTGTCCCTGTGGTGTCTGCCTGGCCCTCTCCACCCATCTGGGTTACTTTGTATCTGTAGCTATGGGGGTGTCGAGGGGGGATCTCTGCGGTTCTGTGTGTAATGCAAAGTTGCTTGGTGTGTCATGTAGTATTCCCGTGCCCATTTATGTAATAAAGTGTGTACTTCTGTTATGTTATTTTCCTTTCACTTCTCCTCTAGTATTACTATTATATTCTATTGAATTTATATTATTAGATTATATTGAATTTTGGAAGTGTGTGTGTTAGGTTACATAACTATAAGTTTTATTTTCAGGACAGTAAAAGAGAGCTACAAAATATTATTTTAAAAAATAAACTTGCTTGGACTTCATTGACATGTTCTAAACTTTTCAGATTAACCATATTCTAATGAGGAAGAATTCAACATACGATATTTAGGCCTACACTGACAACAGAAGCTTCAAACCTGCCTGCTTTGTGCTTTTCCTTTTCAAACCTTTCCGCACACCTGTGCTGTGCGTGGACAGACGTGCCCACAGGACACGGATTCGAGGCATCCGTAAACGCTTCCTTTAGCTCTCTTCAGTCCCCGTAGCTCATGGAAGTGGCCAGAAGGACAGATCTCCCTTGGTTTATCCGTTCCAGTTTGTGCCGGCTTAATTTCTCCCGTCTCCTCTCTTGGTGGCCGGTTACGCTGCACCTTCAGAAGACGTGTTCTCCATTTTGCAGTCACACGGGTGCTGCTCCTGCCATGGCACCTTTAGTGTCCCTGTCAGTCTGCTCTGGCAGTGAGTGCCACCTTTACGGTGACTCGGGGCCGGGTAAGCTCTGGACAACCCCTTGTCAGGCTTCCCGAGCAGTCGCCCCAGAGCATTCGTATATTGAAATATGTACTGTTTTATTATAACTTACTTTCCTTTTATTTCTTTTTTATATTACAGTTAGGATATTATATTGATTTTTTTAAAAAATGTGTGTAGGCGGATTATATTATCCATTAATTTCATCTGAGGGTAGTAAAAGAAGATACTAGAAAACATTTGCCATAAAAAGGGGATTTGGACCTGGTAGTTTGGAGAACCACAGGTGTCATAAATAAATAATTATACCATCTACTGACCCATGATTTCTGTGACACAGGAAAAGCGCACGGCCACAGGTGCTTCCTGTCCCGCCTGGGACTTGTGATGCCTTCTGCAAGAGTGACTTCCCCAAGTGCGGGCCAGAGCTCTGCCCCCGCCTAGCACTGCGGGGTTCGTCTCCTCTGCGGGAAGGACGGACGGGGCAGCGGCTTGCGGGTCCACATGCTCAGTCGTGTGGCACGAGGGGTATGCAGGACCAGGAAGTGGGCTCCAGGCTGGCGCCCCGGTGATGAGAAGACACCAGCTCCCTTCGGGAGGTGCCAGAGATGCGTTCACCTGCAGTGACGGGTTCACAGCGGGCGTTCCTTAAGCAGCATCTGTGGTCACACACTGCCAGAGACGCTGTCAGAAACAGAGCAGGGCCCGGTCTGCCCGAAGCTGGGCTCCTGGTCAGGCGGCGAGGCCGCGAAGGAAGCAGCGGTGAGTGTGGCGGACGCGAGTGGATGAAGGCTGAGGCCGGGCGGACAGGGAGCTCCTGTGGGTGCCCAGGAGGGGTCCCCACGGCACAGCGAGGGCGGAGCGGCCCGCCCCAGGGCCCCGTGCTGTCCTCAGCGCTCTGCCCCCACTCCCGTGCCTCCTTCTGCTCAGCTCCTTCCTGCCGCCTGCTCCCTGGTCTGCGCCAAACCTTTGGAGACCTTGATTTTTACAGCCGAGTCCAGGCTGCCGAGCATAGCCCCATTCTCCCCAGCTGGCTTCGTCACCGTGACCCTTACCCGCTGTGCTCTGCCGGAAGAGACGGCTCTATGGACAGCAAGGGCGCTGCCCACCCTCTTCTCCTCCCTCCTTCAGACTCTGGCTGTCCCCTCCCACGTCCTCCACTCCAGAGGGCTCTCTTCTCTTTGGCATTTTCTGCTCAGATTCCTCCCCAGTCTGTGCACCAGGGTCAGCTCAGTGCACCTAGCCAGGGTGCAGTGGAGCTGCAGGGCCAGTAAGGCAGGGTCCTGCGGAGGCCAGGCTGGGGCTGGCTGGGGCCTGTGCGGAGCTGGCACTCGAGCCCCGACCTGAGGTCACCCGCTGTGCCCTGGCTGCGGGTTTGCACTTTCTGTGGTAAGGCCCACGGGCATGGTCCACATGGATGCAGCGCTGACTGGGTGGCTCGCTGGGCGTGCAGGCCTTGGTGGGTTAGGCCAGCCTTGGTTCTCCAGCTCGTCCTTGCTTGCGGGTGGTGATGGTACCTGGCAGAGATGGATGAGGCACCCTGCGCCCAGTGCGTAGCAGCTGTCTGCAATGTGCTCGCTCTTCCTCGGCCCTCCACTGTCGCGGGCACAGTGCCAGGTACACGGTGGCTCTCAGCCGCTCTTGGAGTCAGCCTGGTCCACACAGCAAGGTGGAGGCAGGGGCTACAAGGGCATCCCCTTCACAGCCGGGCACCGAGTGGAGAGGTCACAGAGTGGGGCTTACATGTGCTGGGCTCTGAGTCTGGGGGGGTCGGGTTTCCACGAGGAGCTGGGAAGGATGGGGCGGTGATCGAAGTGCTGCCTGCGGGGCAGACGCTGTCACACTCCTCCCTGAGCTCCAGGGCAGGCGGTGTTATGAAGCCGCCGCCATTACTGGTGGCAGCGCTGGATGGAGCCGATGAACAGGGCACCCTCCCCAGGGCCTCAGCCTCGGATCCCTGTGTGGGCCCAAGCATTGCCCTTGCGTGCACATGTGTGTTACGGGTGTGTGTCTATCGATAGCTGGGGTATTTCCTCTAAGCAGCGTTTGATGAAGCTGGTCAGTCCCAGGTCTGCTGGTCTAGGATGTCGCTGGTGGAATAATGAGTCATTATTATTGAATGGGCCAGTGTAATTAATCCAGGAAAATCATGTACTGATGGACTGCATCATTGAGCAGAGTGCATCGTGAGCGCCGGGGGCCCCTGGGGAGTGCACACTTCTTTCGAGGCATTTTTAAAATGCAGATTCTTTTCCTGCACAGGTCTGGATCGCTCATTTTTCATCCGTCTGCCTGTGCAGCTCGGCTGAGAACAGTGTACTTCGTTTCAGTTCAGCCAAGAAAGAGACATCCAAAGAGGTAGACAGAGAAGATTAGTGCAAACATGTGCAAGTGCACGTGGGAGTGAGCATGTGCAGTACATGCATTTGTGTGTGTGTGTGTGTGTGTGTGTAAATCCTACAACAGCTGTGATCTGACTTAAGATTTGGATAAATGAGAACAACTAGATTTGTTCTCAATGTGATGTATGTGCTGTGTGTTCTATGAAATGAAGAGAACCAACACAACTTCCCTGATAATTCAATGTATGTAGCCCTCCGCACACACATAATGCATATGTGCCTGTGAGTCAGTGTGTCAATACACACAGGTTGGGAGCAGATGAATTAGACCAGCAGGATTCCCTCATAAATAACAGACTAGATCCCCAGTAGATGCATGGGTTACATACAAAAAGGGAAGCCCAGGGCTCAGGCAGCTTTGGTGGAGACGTCGTCACCAGATATATTTATTTTAAGTAACTCAAAAATGGAAGCAGAAGTGGACGAGTGAACACAGAATGCTTTTGAAGTTTTTTGTTTCTTAATTTCTGAGCCTACTTTTCAGATGTCTTATTAAAATTCATCGTAAGGATTTTTTAAAAAAGCAACAATTTGAAGAAGGGAAAAGCCCTATTATTATTACCTAAATGCTGAGAAACAGCATAAAGGAAAAAGAAGGCAGCCTGTGAGAGAGAAGCGTGTGGCATCTCTCTGGTGTAGAAGTAGTTGAATAAAGTAGAAGAGAAAGAACCTAGGATGGCTCACATTTCTTAGAAACATAAAATTAATAATGTATTCTGACAGCAACAACAAGCTACCCTATCTTACAAAAGTTTGAGATGAAATGTGAAATACTTAACTCTATAAACTGAGTCACTTTCCTTTCATGATCTACTTTCTTCAGTCAGAACCAGCTGGCTGTGATATTACTTTGTCATTTGAAATCTTCACATATACCTTTACATCTTCACATTCAAATCAAAGTAAGGCCTCCATGTTTCAATGATATTTTCCATTTATGTTAAAACCTCTTAAAGTAGTTTATGTGAAATAACCATGAGATGGTATTGCTTTGACTGATTTGTCAGGGAGGCTTTAAGAAAAGTCCCCATTGCGTCCTGTGAAATGAAAACCCCTCCGTAAGGAATGCAATTTCATATGTTAATCACAATGTATTCCATCCTTGCAAGCTTCCAGAATTAGCATAAGAACTTGAGGCAGGATTTATGGCCCACTATACTTGTTGGAATGTGACATTATTCACAGTATACGTCACTCACAGACATCTGTGACTTGTTCCAGAATTCTGGTGTGGAAAAGCAGACTTGAGAAGCAGTGCTGGAGTCTCCAGATTTCGGTACTGTACTTTCCAAACTGGATGAGAGTGGGCTGTGCAAATGTTCACCACCTCCGAGTGGAACCAGCGCAATGGCCGGAGCAGCTCTGCCCTCTGAGTGTGGTCGAGCGCTCATTCCAGACGGAACTGGAGAGCAGACTCGCCAGCCACCGTGTCAGGACAGGTGCAGCTCCTGCCTTGGGACGAGGGTGGTGTAGTGCCACAGACTTCCTTTCCTCTGACACTTCTCCTTATCTAATCAAGCACACAAGTCCACCTTCTGTAAGTGGTGCCCTGTGCTGCTCCAACCTAAGATTCTCACGAACATCTTAGCCACAGTTATGTGCAAAAGGGCTGGATATAGCTCAGCGGCACAAGCACCTGCCTGGCAAACGCAAGGTCCTGAGTTTGATTCCCGGTACCAAAAAAACAAAAAAAAAAAACAAAAAAAATAATTACATGCCTTCTACCTGGTAAGCAGGTCCTGCTCATGACTACAATTGTGTGCTAATGTTTCCCTCATGAACTAACCAGAAGTGACATCAAAAGCCGGGGATTTGAGATCTGGATTCTGAATTTCTCCTCCGGGTAGAGAGCTGGCTTTTGGCAGGGATCCTTCTTGTCTTGTTCTCTTAAGTGCTCATCAAAAACAAAAACTAAAATAAAGACAAAATCCTTCATTAATCCACAGCACAAAGTTACTAGGAGCAGAACCTCCTGTCAGAGCGAGGGAGGTCTCACTAGGTGGGACCTGTGGGGAGCAGGATGGCAGCGGCTGGTGTGGGGGTGGGGCTCACCTGGCCATGGCCATGTTACCTCGCCAGGCAGCGGGCTCCTCAGGCCTCCTTCCTGGGCTGGTCTGGGTCATCGCCCAGCACTCCCAGGGCGAGTGCTGGCCATCTATCCCCTTCAGAGCAGAGTGGGTGAAAGTTCCCATGCGGGGTACAGGCTCAGTGCCACCTGGAGAAGTCCTGGCTTTGCTCTTTGCCAGGCTGGTGGCCTCATCTTTACAGTCTGAATCTTTCCTCGCACGTCGCTTGTGCAGCTACATGTCCCACCGTGCTGCAGAAAGAAGGCCGAACCAGGACCTTCTCTCACAGCTGGACCAGCCGGTGCTGGAGCATGCCGGCTCCTCCGGGCTGTGGGAATGGGGGTGAATTTGGCACCAGCTGTGAGCTGTGCTGGGTAGGGGCCCTAGAGTGACCAGCACACACTGAGTCTTTCTCCAGAGAGGCTGGGACAGCGACGTGAGCCACTGTGAGGTGGATCCAGTGTGAGAAGAGTGGGTGGTTGGCTGTGGGAGCCCCAGCTCTGTGTTGGGCCTGGAGAGGCTTTGGGAGGAGCGGTCACTTGGACTGGACCCAGGGGGTGAGTGGATCCCACAGCCAGGGAGATTAGGGTCCTCTCTCAGTAGTCAGTGGCCTGTGGCAAAGGCGGAGCTGTGGCGAGAGGCTTCCCCGAGAAGCCAGCGTTCACGACCCATCCAGCAGAAAGAAGAGGGTCAGACTAGGACCGAGGCCAGGCTCACTCCCAAGCAGGGAGAGTGTGTGCCGACAGGACCCTGGTCCTCCCAGCTGCAGTGACTACAGCGTCACCCCTTGCCCTGGCGGCTCAGCTGCCAGTGCTCTTGGGCTCTGAGGTTTGCTCTGCACCCAAGCGCTGCTCCCATGTCCTGAGAGTTAGGCCCTCCCTAAAGTGACAGTGAAGGGGAGGAGGACAGCAGGGGCTCCTCACCCTCGGGTCACCCCGGGTACTGAGGCCAGAGGGTCTCCAGGGGAGGCTGTGGACAGTTTTGGCTCCATGCCTCTGTCTGGGGTCAAATTCTCCACAAGAACTCGCACCTGAATCTCCTGCCTCACTCTCACCCCTCAAGGCATTCGCACCCGGGGGGCCTGGCTGCTGTGGCGGCCGGGAGGTGTGTTTATGTACTTTTGTGGCATCTAGGATTTTCTGGAGATGTAGGCTTAGGGTAAATTGTGAGAATTTTTAGAGATGAACTCAGTATGTTTTCAGCACTTCTACTGTGCCCTGGAAAGCAGCCTCTACTCGGTATAATCTTATTATTATCTCCTAAGTCACTACTATATTTTGAAGTTTTCTTTCTATCTATAAGAAAATGCAAGAAGTGTGCTTTATGATCTTGTTTTACAATATGTTAAAGATACATAAAATATTTGAAAGATACATACATACATTTAAAGACTTTTACCATTGCCTAAAACTTACTTTATAATTTAATATTTTACTCTTAGATATTTGCAGTTGGGGGCTGGGGATTTAGCTCAGCGGCACAGTGCCTGCCTGGCAAGTGCAAGGTCGTGAGTTTGATTCCTGGTACCGGAAACAAAACAAAACAAAACAAAAAAGTACTTGCAGTGTATTTTATCTCATTGGACTGAAAATGGGAGATTAGAACAGACTTCTTGATCATCAAACGGCCCACATCTAAGGGTGATGCAGAAGTGGAACTGACGACCTAGACCTTCCTGGCGCTGGAAAATTCTATCAGGGAAGGAAACTGCTGAAAGTTCTCTTCCCTTTGACTTGGGGACACTGATAATTAACTTATCGCGCCATACGCAGCAGAAAAAATTTAAATGGCATCACAGGGCCATTTACGGCAGCATTTTGAGACCAATATTTCAGAGTTTACAGAAACTGGGTGTTTTAACATTGATATGCAAAGATCTTTCACAACTAAACATGTTCATCCCAGCTTTTCGCGAGAAGCGTCTTAGGATAAATTACGTTGCTGTCCTGGCTGGAGCAGTGCTCTTCGAGGCTGGGGCCTGCTCAGCTGGGGACGCATGTGTCTGCCCGGCAGACGGGCGAATCTAAGCCTGTGTCCACCCTGCACTAGCAATGAGGACCCATCAAAGATGGTCTCACCCTTGGCAAAAACCACGTGGTGCTGAAACATTCAAAAGTACTGAAGAACTCTTCTGAGGCTGAGAGTTTATCTCAGGGCAGCCTTGCTGACACGCGCACTGACGGGAGGTACAGGGCGCTGGTGGGCGTCACGGGCATGTGAGGTCAAGGAGGTAGAGCAGCAAGAGGTCTTGGTGGCCACTGGAGCCTACCTGCATCTGCAGGCTGAAAGCCAGGGTTGCCTAAAGCCGTCCTTGCCTACACTGTAAAGATCATTAGTTCTAGAAGTGTTAACCTGGGTGCCTCACCTCTTGGTGTTTGGTCGGGGCCGGTGGGAGTACGCAGGTGGCCCCTCTGGCGCTTGCCAAAGTACTAACCTTGCCTGCCTGAGAAGAGCGTGCAGGGTCCCTCGAGGAAGAAGCACGGGCTCCCTTTCCTTTCCTTTCCACTGGAATGTCATTGTCACCGAGGGAATGACTCAGCAAACAGCGGGTACTCGGTTCTCAGTACTTTACTGACGTTTCCTCCAAAGTGACCAAGGTCCTTGTCATATTGAGGAGAAGTGTCACAAAGGCTGTCCTTCCTCCGACTTTCTTTACTGTGTTGTGTCATTGCAACTGAACTTGTTGTAAGTGCTGTCACACTGACAGGAAGCACATGACTGTGAGGCCAGTCGTTTAGAGTTTTCAGGAAAAGGGACCGAACCCTTTAAATGTGAACACGAGTGCTGACTGTGTCTGCTGTCAGTGAGGTGAAATTCAAAGTTTTCTAGCAGGATTTGGATTTAGGAAAGGTAGTATCCACTGCTGGAAACTTAAGACCTTCTCAGTATT